TCTTAATTACTCTGCCAGATCATGTCATTGACTTTGTGCATTTTAGGAAAGGGGAGGAAAGCTTTTTACAAGAAGTCTGTTGTAGGAATTGAATCTTCTGCAGACCTCTAAGTATAATCTCTTTAGAAACCCTCTCCCCAGTATCCCTTCATCTTCATGGCTCAAAACCCTTTTCAATCATCTTATCCTTATAAGAAAGTTTCTTCTGATTTTGCCTCCACTGTCTAACCCCTGGACCTTACTCAGAGACCCCATTTCATTCCTGAGAAATATCCAAGTAAGCAGTAAGTGATTTCATGCCAGTTCTCAGGAACTTTCACTGCTGCACATAACTGGAGATTGTAGTATTAGAGGTCCAGGTGGGTGGATAGCATTTAGGAAAGAGAAGAATAGAGTGCCATATATGGTTATATTGTATTCTCCAGATTGTGATTGCGACCCCCGGACGTCTGATTGATGTGCTGGAGAACCGCTACCTTGTGCTCAGCCGCTGTACCTATGTGGTTCTGGATGAGGCAGATAGGATGATTGACATGGGTTTTGAGCCAGATGTCCAGAAGATCCTGGAGCACATGCCTGTCAGCAACCAGAAGCCAGACACGGATGAGGCTGAGGACCCTGAGAAGATGTTGGCTAACTTTGAGTCAGGAAAACATAAGTACCGCCAAGTAAGACTGCTTCTCTGGGTTGGGAAAAGTTGGAAACATTCCCAAACTTGCTCTTAGACCTTTCTTGTCTTAGGTGGGCCCAGAGTACATGCTTTTAGAATGGTGAGCTGTGCCTAGATATAGTCTTCTGACAGTGCTAGGGGTGGAGCCATTTGGCTTATCCCTAAAAAATGATTCTAAAGAATTATGCTACTACCTGGGCCCTTCTTGTTATCATAAGATGCAAAGTACCTTAGTGAACAAGTACTGGAGAAAAGATGGAAAGACAGACAACGTTTATTTCCTCAGGTGGTTGCTGTCAAAGCTTATACCATGGCACATTTTATATTCTTTACTCTGGGTTGAGCTGCTTGAGGTGACAGTGGTATATGTGATTGTGTCTATGTGGGCATAGTGCTGAGCTTCCTGTTTTCATAGACAGTCATGTTCACGGCCACCATGCCTCCAGCGGTGGAACGTCTGGCCAGGAGCTATCTTCGGCGACCTGCTGTGGTATACATTGGCTCTGCAGGCAAGCCCCACGAACGTGTGGAACAGAAGGTCTTCCTCATGTCAGAGTCAGAAAAGAGGTATGGCCTGCCGAGCCAGGGGAAACGGGTGGAGAAAGAAAGGGCTTGGAAAACTTCTTTAGATGTGAGTGGTAGCTGCAATTCAGTTGCTCTGCCTTGTTGAAGAGCTTCTGTTTCCTTAAACAGAATGCTGTTGAAAAACCTGGACTGGAGTTCATAGGTCAGGGTTGGGCATTTTGCTTGGAGTGGGAGGTTTTACACATCTCATTTTCTCCTTTTCCTCTTCTCCCCAGGAAAAAGCTGCTGGCAATCTTGGAGCAAGGCTTTGATCCACCCATCATCATTTTCGTCAACCAGAAGAAGGGTTGTGATGTGTTGGCCAAATCCCTGGAGAAGATGGGGGTATGCTTGGCTGGAGAGAACAAAGTTTGGCCTCTGTGGCACAGCTTTCTGAAACTGTCAGAGCTCCCAAGACTTCCTAGGCTCCCATTTTCAATTCTCACCTATTCTTTAACCTCTCTTGTAATCTACAAGGCAGGGCCAGAGGGAAAAGGGGTTTGAGGGGATAAGGAGAACTGAATCAATTGCTAGAACTCCCTGTCCATTCCAGTAATGACAGCCAAAGCTGTCTTGGGTCTTCATCCAAGTGGGGCAGGGGCCAGGGAAAGGTTTTGAGACTCACATTCTGGCAGTGTGAAGATGTGGAATAGAGTAGGACACAGCTGTTTGTATTTATATTTGTTTAGGAGAGGAGATGATGGGACTGAGAGGGAGCTGTTGGTAAACAGCATCCTTTACAACCCTAGAACTGGTGCTTGAGGGGAAGGGGGTACTTTTGCCACTCAGCTCTTCAACTTCCTTAAACTTCTTGATCCCTGCTTTTTACCCTGGTGTATCCTCCTTATTCTTTTTGAGTACTCTTCTTTTCTGGCTCCACTTCTTGCCCTGACTGCTTTGCCTTTGACTTTACTCTGTTTGTCTCCACCACACCACACCCCGTTCTCTCTTGTCCCTTTCTTCACCTCACCTGTTTTGTCCCTACTTTCACTTGCACTCATTCTTTCTCTTGCCTCCTTCCCTTTCTCCTACCTTGTTGCTCTCTCCCATCCTACTTCTGTCTCCATTCTCTCTTAGCTTTTGTGTCTTCATGGTCCCATTGCTCCTTCTTTACCTCACCACTCTTCCAACAGTACAACGCTTGTACCTTGCATGGTGGAAAAGGCCAAGAGCAGCGAGAGTTTGCATTGTCCAACCTCAAGGCTGGGGCCAAGGATATTTTGGTGGCTACAGATGTGGCTGGTCGTGGTATTGACATCCAGGATGTGTCTATGGTTGTCAACTATGATATGGCCAAAAATATTGAAGGTAAGTGCAGGGGAGAGTAGCTTTAATCCAGAGTGGTCACGCTCCTTTTATCATCCCGCTAGAAGCTGGGGTGCTGTACTTACGAGGCTTTTGCTGCTGTCTCTCACAGCTCCAAGTCTGGGGTTGCCTGTCCCAGTGAGAAGAGCTCCTGTTCTTTATCTCACCTGAGTTTGTTGTCCCAGCATCTGGGATAACACTTCTGTCTTCAGGGGTGTGGAGAAGAATGGAGCTAGGCAACCCTGGGTGATAGAGTGTAGAGTGACCACAGTCGTCAGTGGTAGTGGGGAGCCAGACACTGGGAAGAGCGTGGTGGATGCTTTGGGTTCAGGCAGCACAAGGCATATTTACTGCCCTTGGAGGTACAGTGGGGAGGATGCCTTTAGAAGTTGAGGTTTTAGGTGGTGCCTGTAGCTCAGTGGGTAGGGTGCCGGCCACATACACCAAGGCTGGAGGGTTCTAACCCAGCCCAGGGTTGCTAAAACAATGACAGCTGCAACAACAACAAAAATAGCCAGGCGTCATGGTGGGTGCCTGTAGTCCCAGCTACTTGGGAGGCTGAGGCAAGAGAATTTCTTAAGGCCAACAAGAATTCGAGGTTGCTGTGAGCTATAACATTATGGCACTCTATGTAGGGTGACAGCTTGAGACTCTGTCTTAAAAAAAAAAAAAAAAATAGAAGTAGAGGCTTCACATACTGCTCACCAGGGCAACTGGCCTGGTGCAAATGATTTTCTCATTCCTCAGATTACATCCACCGTATTGGCCGCACGGGACGAGCTGGCAAGAGTGGCGTAGCCATCACCTTCCTCACCAAAGAGGACTCTGCTGTGTTCTATGAGCTGAAGCAAGCAATCCTGGAAAGCCCAGTGTCTTCCTGTCCCCCAGAGCTAGCCAACCACCCAGATGCCCAGCATAAGCCAGGCACCATCCTCACCAAGAAGCGCCGGGAAGAGACCATCTTTGCTTGATAGCACTTTCCCATGAGCTCAAGGGCATGCTCTGAAGCTGCCTAATGCCTGTTTTCTATAGCCCTCACATCCCCCTTTCCACATCCTCACTCTTAGGTTGTGGGGGCTTAGGAAACAATCAGGCTCCTTGGCCTAGACCCCAAGTGGGACTGTAAAAGGAGATGATGATGCTGTAGGAGGCAAGGAAAAACAAATTACTGCAGATCTCAGCCCAGCTCTGTCCCCTTGGGGGCTTTGGGATCACACTCGTTCAAGGGCTCTTGCCAGGCTATGGGGGAGCTAGTTGGCATTACCCCCTGGACTGAACAAAAACCCAGCTGCCTATATGAGACCTCTTCCAGCTCAGACTTGACTGTAACTGTATACACTGCAGCAACATCATTGCCCGGATGCCGTGGGAGGTCTGGCACCATGAGGATGATGGACCATGGAATCTTACTGTCATTTGGACATCTGTTTTCCCATTTGGATTATAAAACAAGCTGAGACCCTTCAGACCTGTGCTTGGCCCCGTGCCAAGGAGTGCTGTGCACTCTGGGCATCATCCCCCAGGGAATTTTTTTAGTAGATATGGGGACAGGGTGAGCTGGCTGTGTCCATCTTTAAGTCACTGAGTGAAATCTTTGTTTTCTACTCTCTGAGAAGATAAGTTTGTATGTTCTGAGAATAATAGATGAATATTCAGGCTGTGTCTAATTCTATAATAGCTAAACTCACCTCCCAGGTCCTCCCTGGCAGTGGACATGAGGGGCAGCATTGGACATGGTGGCCGGCTTGGAGAATGAAAGCCAATCACAAGAGAAGAGGCTGGGCTCCTAGCTGTAGTCCAGGTCCACAGGTGGGACTTGAGGGAGGTGAGCCATAGCAGTAGGACCACTGTGCATCCTCCTCTCCTGCTTTACCCTCACATAACTGTGGCCCTGGCCTGATACCCTCCGGGGCCTTTGCACATGGATGGGAAAGGAATGCTGGTGTGAAATTTTGGTA